CAATATAAAGAAAATCGGATGTGCTCCAGATCACAACGCAGTTGTACGTGTCCCGTCTACAGCACACCAGCAGATCTTGGAGTATGTCCGATCCAAGACCAACTGGACCTTGAGGGTGACAAAGTTGGAGTTGCGCCACAATACGAACTTCAATTCGTTCATGGTGCTAGTTCTAACTCATCATTTCGAGACATTCCTCAAGGAAGAGTTTTGGCCGAAGGGTTTCGTATATCGGAGGTTCCGAGTGGTTCCGAGGACGGCTAAGCGATACCACGCAGCGTAACGACACTTCGTGTGCATTAGTTTTTAAGTTATCTATGTAAAATATGAATTAGTTTATGATTTAATGTTATAATATATTTATGTATTGTATTCTCTATGGGCCTCAGATGCCTGACTTAATTATATAAATAAATAAATAAAAAAAGTAAAACATAACACAGATATCAACGCCATTCTCGATTTCAATAGCATAACCAAAATTAATTTCATCCCCGTGTACCTATAATTCTTTAGGCTTCAAAATTCGAAAGATAGAACAAAATTAAATCATGGGTACCTACAAACGACAATTGTCTTATTATACCTACGTTTGTGTACTAACTCCATAAAAATACTTGACGGCGCGTCGATTATTCAATTTGAAAGGAGGTTATATCACAATTCATCCGACGAGGGTACTTACAATGAATCGTATTCTGGCGGAACGTCAAATGGACCGTGCGCATTATGGTTGAGAGCGACTGGGCTGGCTGTGACTGTCTTACGAGACGGATCGCCGACGTCCGTTATTTTTGTAATTTATTCGGTCTGATTATAAAATCCTACGCCCTGCGATGGACCGTAAAGACGATGATCGGATGTTGATGTTTGTACCACACCCCGGTGCCTTCATACTTTTTTTGACTTATACTAGCTAAACTTTTCATTTAACTATTAATATTCGTATAAGAGATGCAACGAATAGTTGTTCGGCCAGATACCGGATACCGGATGTTCGGCCTGACCACCAGCCGAATGTTCGGTATTCGGCCGGCGGCATTTTGAGTTTCGTAGGTGCGTGTCGCCGTGCAAATTTTGATTTGTTTCGTAGTGAACCTTCGCGCTGACAATTGACTTGCCCCACGGTTTTATTTTAGTCTAGTCTATGCATATGTTTATAATTCCCACGACTGTATCTATTTTATTATTTGTTGGTTTTTAGTACATTTATCTTAAACATTGCAATGCAAACATAAAACCGTTTAAATTAAAAAGTTTTTTTACCTATTTTTATTTTCTAGTTTTTAGTTTTTATTTCGCATTCTGTTTAATTCATTTCATGCTTCATTATTGCAAGGTTTCTTGCCCGTTAATGTATTGCAGTCCAACTTCTCTATACGTATTCCCTGCAAAGATCTTACTCCACTAAGAGCCACCTGATTGTTTCCGTCGTTTCAGTAATCGACTATTTATATCACCTTCACTTTCTTTAGCTCGTTTTGCTTTATACTTTTCTTTCGCTTTTTGAAGCCTCTGTTTACGTTGTGTTGCAGTTTCTGTTTTATTTGTTTTTTTTTTATTGATTATAGGTTTGCGCTTGACCGCTATCTCACCTGATGGAAAGCGACGATGCTGTCGACGATGGAGCGCGCTTACCTAGAAGTAACCTATTCACTCTTGACTTAAAGATACCCGGATTGTAGCTATCAGGAAACACCGACTCCGGCAAGCAATTCCACTCCTTGGCTGTACGCATAATGAAGGTGCTCCCAAAACGTTTTGTACGTATATGTGGGACATCCACCATGTACCGGTAGCGCAATGCCGTACGTCTGGTGGTCCGATGATGGATCGGGCTAAGCGGAATTAAATTATGTAATTCCGACGCACACTCTCCGAAATGCAACCGGTAGAAAACCGACAGGCTAGGAACTCGGCGTCGATGCTCAAGACTTTGAAGTCTCGACTCGACAAGTGCATCATCGCCAATGATCCTCTTGGCTCGCCCCTCAATAGACTCAAGCGCATAATGTTGGTATCGGGCAGATCAATCCCAAAAATGAGAGCAGTACTCCATAACCGATCAAACCTGCGCCTGATAAAGTTTAAACAGCTGTTCCGGCGTGAAGTATTGTCTAACCCGTGCAAGGATTCTCAACTTTTTTGCAGCCAGTTGAGGTTTTGCTTCGATGTATGGCCCAAAATTGAGAGTAAATGTCAGCGTTATACCAAGAAGATCAAGATGGTCAGTTATCGGCACGGATACACCCCGGAAAGTTGGAGCAGGACTAAATTGACTTCTTTTAGCGGAAAATAGACACGCTTGAGTTTTAGCTGCATTGCACCTGACCATGTTGGCATCGCCCCATTCAGAGACAGCCACCAAGGACAAGTTCAAGTGCCCAACCATAGCCTCTCGAAGAGACTGGATCTGTGACCTGACCTGAGACTGTGGCTTATGCGCCGGATGTGTAGCTCTCAGCAATAGTAGTGTCGTCTGCATACCCAAAGAGACCGGGCTTAAGCAGGTCGTGTATGTGCAACAAAAACAGTGTTGCCGAGAGCACTGACCCCTGAGGGACTTCAGCATTGATGGTCATTTGACTCGACGAACAACTATCGATGACGACACGGATGGACCGGTCCCTCAGAAAGTCTGCGATCCAAACACACAATCCAGTAACCGAATGAAGGAATCTTACTAATAAGGCTTTCGTGCCATATCCTATCGAAAGCCTTCGAGATGTTAAGGGAGACGGCAAGCGCTTCCCCGTGTTTCTCGATGGCCTCACTCCAGATGTGGATGGCATACGCTAGAAGATCACCTGTTGACCGATTCCGGCGAAATCCATATTGTCGGTCACTTGAGATGTCATTGGCTTCTAGGTATGCCAGGAGCTTCATGTTCAATACACGTTCCATTGTCTTACAGAGAATGGACGTTACTAAGATTTGTGTTTTTGTTTTTTTCATTTTTTTTACCACTTTGTTGCCATGAGTATTGGATATTGAAATGGTCGACCCCAGAAGTCCAATAAAGGGGCAAGGCTATGTAAAACAAGATGCGCCTGAGTCTTGAGGGGAAAACGGTACCGACATATCACTTTTATCCACCCTAATGCAATTCTCAGCGCGTTTTAACTTTTAACTTGGGTGGTATACCGATAACGACGTATCATTTTTAGCCACCCTAACGCCACACAGTCTTCAACACGATACAAAGTCTTGAGACGTGGGTGGTGGATTCAGGCTGGATTAATCAGATACCTTTTTTTATGTGATAGGACGGCAAACGAGCAGACGGATTACCTGATGGTAAGCAATCAGCGTTTTCTGTGAGTATAACTCCGGTCGAGCCGACCCATCCGTGCCGAAGCATGGCTCTCCCACACTTAAATATTAATAAATTATACCTAAATTACAGATTCAATTTCTAAATTTAAATCTTATTATTATACGCCATTTAGTGGCTGCGCCCATCTTAAATATTGAGGTTGTATAGTGCACTGTATTCTTCTTGTTAAGCCCTTTCATTTGATACCCATATTTATGGGATTGATAAAACCCACGTTACCCGCCATTTTGTAGCGGCCGCCATCTTGGATTTAAATTTTTTATAGTACATTGTATTCTACTAGTTGAGCACTTTCATTTGATACCTATATTGATGTGATTGATAAAACCTACGTTATCCGCCATTTTGTAGCGGCCGCCATCTTTGATTCAAATTGTTTATAGTAGCTACATTGTATTCTGCTCGTTGAGCCCTTTCATTTGATACCCATATTGATGGGATTAATAAAACCCACGTTACCCGCCATTTTGTAGCGGCCGCCATCTTGGATTTAAATTGTTTATAGTAGCTATAGACAAAGATTTTTAATGGAATGACGGTGACGGCATATGAGCAGAAGTATTAACCGATGGATGGCAACAGCGATCAGAGGAGTTACGAATGCGTAACCGACCTTTTTGGGATTAAGGATTTGGAGGTTTTGAGATTGAGGCAGGAGAAGGACTGGGCATCCAGTAACCTCTCTCACACGGTGAAACGCTAATGAAAAAACGCTATGGTTGTTTCACGTTGGTTTTCTGTGAGGAGCTGCTATCACTCTGGTCAAGTCGACCCATTTTTTTGTTTTTTTGGTATCGTGTTGGAAAATCCGCATGGAGACCCACCGCCCTCGGGGAAGGGCGAAGGGTATGTTGTCACTCTTACTGGCAAAAAACAACCCGGTGTTCCTCCATTTACCCATGTGTTGGAGGGGCGGGTATCGCCGAAGCATTCGTCGCAACCCCTCGACGGGTATTGGCCCGCCAGATAGTCAGGCAGGCCCCGTCACCCCTACCGCAGGACTCCACTGTGAGGCGGAACACGGCGCGTCTGCCTCGAGGCTTGCTGCTGGTGGAAACATAGGTAAGTTGGAATAAAACTACAAATGTTATTTTGTTGATAATTTATTTATCCTTAAAATCTATTTCGTAAAATTCGTAGGTAAATAGAATAATATATTTTTAAATTTAATTCGTCCTAAGTCCTAACGCGCTCTTTCTCATTTTTGGCACTGCGGAAACCGACGCAACGATGGAGCACAACAGCATAACGTGTCATATGGGAAATATGAGTTTATAATTATCAATATTAGTTAAAGAAATGTTCCCAAACTAATTGATTTCTCACAGAGGTCTCCTATGGTCTAAGAGAAGCTCGGGTCTTACACCTTGCGATTTTTGGTCGCATCAGGTGGTGGACGACCTGATATCGACGCCGGTTGTGACAGCCGTTGCAAATATCCGGCAACTGGAACTCGAGGTTACGCTCCACAAGTCTGAGGCCATGAACTCTTATGGCCGTCAAAGGCGCAACCTCCGGATGTCGAGTCAGCGATGAAATACCTAGGTCTCATCCTCAACAGCCGGTGAAACTTCGCAGAGCATTTCCTATATTTGGCTCCTAAACTAAAAAGGATTAATAAGGCTCAAGTGGCTCCTGAGGAGTGGGGGACGAGACAGGGTTTGCGAGCATAACTGATTTGTAGAAAGAAAAGACGGCTGTTATACCAGGGTGCCCTGCTGCCCCCAGTCGCTGTTTCCACTCCACCATTAAATCGCACTGGAGCTCACCTCTCTCATCGCTTTCTATCTCTGCCCTAACTTCGCCTGTGACTTGATGGAATAAGACATAAGTAACGTTCCCAATTCTGTGACTGTTTGAGTTTTGAGTGAAGGTCTTTCTGTGTCTCGTTCATGTTTGCTAGCGTTCCATTTTTTATAGTAGCTAAATCTATATTATCTTGATACAGTGCGTAGAGAGCTTTGACTGCTTCCAGATCTTCAGCAAAACTCTTCGCTTTCGACAAAAGCTCTTCTGGCAACTCGTGCCGGTCTAATACATCTCCGATTACCTCTAAGAATGGATTACCGTGATCCAGCACGTTACGCAGGATAATACCTTCTAGTAACTTATTACACTTCCTCGAAACATATTTTTTATTATTAATAATGTTATCTATATCGGTTAATAACATTTCTAACATAAAACGAAACTCTAGATCCAGTTTATATCGCTGAACATGTTCGCGCAAAGGTATTTGTTCTGGATGCCCTAGAGCGGTCCTTAGTAGATCGATGCGATTGATCAAACATTTTATTAATTCCTCTCGTCCTTTGCCACTGCTATTCTGTGCTACTTTGAGGACAGCATCTTTGTGTAAATTTTCTATAGCAATAAATGATGTAGTTTCGCTTCTGGTGATCATTTCTCTAAATGATTTGTAAATCCATAGGCCCCATTTAGCTAATTGTTTACCACAAAACCAGGCTATTCTAGAATTGTACATTAAACACACAACTTCCATTTTCTCTAATAAGGAACTTAATCCTGAGATTGCGGACGTATCGGTAGAAGCAAACATATTAGTATGTTTGGGGCAATAGCTTATCATTATTTGAATTGATTTCCAAGATTGCGAAAAGTCTTCAGGAAAATTAATTTTATTCTTCAATTTCTTTTCTAATTTACGCTTTCGGTCATTTATGTCAATGGCTTTCGGACAATATTCCAATTCTTTGATTTTATACTTAATTAACTGGCTGTTGATATCATCTACAATATCATTGTTCTTCTGCATGAGTTTAAGTAACTGTTTCATATTCTGAATGTTCTGTGGTAACATCTTCATTACCTTATCATCTATTTCCTTTTCAATAGTTTCTTTTTTTGCTAAAATATCATCTCGGTTTACTAAAAGTTGAGGAATTTCCAAAAGCAATTGATGTGGCAAACCAGCTGGATCCCAAATATCTCTAAAGTATTGCCCAGAAATCGAAACCAAGTTGATTCCGTGTTTTTTATAAAGGGAACTGATTTCATCAAGTCGTTTTCTAGCGCCAAACGGCATCTTTTTTATTCTACTTTCTAGCAAATCTAAACCTTTTTGGAGTAACGACTTATCAAGTACAGATTTACATATATCAAATATAGGAAAAATGTGTTCTTTAATTTTTACTAATTCTTCTTTAACATTCCTTAAGATATCAGGTCGGTCATTCTCGATATCAATTCTAAGGCTAAGTTGTCCTTTATCAGCATGCGACAAGAATTCTCTAATCTGTTGTAGAAGTTTGATGGTTTCTGCGGATATTGCTGTCTGTAGGAAAGTACTTGTTAATTCAGATAAATGCGTTGACCCTTCAGACGCTTTCATCATTTCTCCAATAACTTGCAGAACTCTTTCAATCATAATAATATCTGCGTCATTAGTATGTTCCAGAGCTTCGATGTACATAACAATTTTACGTAATGAGTAATAATCGCTCACGTACATCATTGGTTTTAGGTAATTCTCATCTAACAATTCTTCTTTGTTTTCCTTGTTCACCTGATTAGTTATTGGGTCATCGGTTAAAAAATAATCGTTTAATATATTTTTTAATTTTCCAATACAAGTTTTGAAATGGTCTCGTTCAAAATACAACACAGGGCCATTATACAACTTATGTAGATCATACGTTGACTTAAGGTTTCTTATTAACACACCGTTGTAAATACCAACATGGTGTTTTTCTACTGTTAACTTTCTGTCTGCAGGTAGATACAGCCTCCAGTCTTCACTTGTCCGGTAGATTAGATGAAAAATAGCACATTCAATATCTTTGTACGTGGTCGCTGCGCTTTTGTACTGTTCGAATAACTTTTTGTTTTCATCAAAATATGTTTTGGATTTATTGAAACGTTGTTTTAAATGGTTTCTTATAATGTACAACTTTTCCAACAAAAGTATTGCTATATTAAAATCCAGCTTCCGAAAATAAACTTCATATTTAATGTATGCCTGCGCTCTGTAGTATGTGCTGGTTTCATCTTCTAAGTCCAATTTGAGTTGGCGCTCGATTTCATCTGAAACGTCTGGTATTCTTACCCTCCCTATTTTTGAATATTTGTTATATAAACATAAAACTTCCAGTAACACTTCGGCAGTTTCTTTTGCGGAAGCATTATGTGGTAATGTCTGCGGCAGTAGTTCGTATAATTCTTGCTGGAAATCATTCAGTGTGTTAAGGGATTTGAAATTAATAAGTAGCTGTTGGTCGCTGACCATGACTAGAACAACGTCGCAGTCAGCTTCAGCATCTTTTAGTATTTTACCAAGATTCGTAAATTTATCCTTTTCGTGTCCATTCCAATACAAGTCACCGCTCCAGTAGTTGTACATCTTCTCTACCATTTCGAAATCCCCCAGCCGCAGTGCATGTTTGACTGCATTCGTTCTTTTTTTTAGCTCTAGTTCTAGCTCTTGTGTATTGTCAATGAGATGATCCAAAATGTCAGTTTCGTTTAGCAAGTAGTCGAGGATACTCTTCTGGTTGTGGGAACACGCAGCAACGATAAGGTCGGCTTGTGTAGGACATGGCCTGGCTCCGGCGTATACTGCAGGTAATAGCGCTTTATTGCGGTTTAATTCTTGCTCGAACCAGTTAACTATGTTCTTGACGTTGTCTATGTTCCCTCTCCGTACAGCATCTAATAGTTCGTTTAGTTTTGACACTAGTGTTCCTTCTGGATCCATTTTGGAATAACTGTAACTGAAATAATGTTCTATTAAAATAATATTATATTAGGAATTTTATTCTGTATCTATTTACATAGTTAAACGATTTCCATTTCCACCGCTTTTATATGCACCTATTTATAATTATGCCTATTTATAGCTTACGGCGATATTGATAGTTTTACTATAATTGCCAATAATTAATTCGTCAGCTGCCTACAGTTGTATATGATATCAATAGACAAAAAGTGCTACACGTACTTTGACACAACTTATAACAGTTAAATGATTTGCCAATTAAAATATTTATCGGGCGAAAGAACTTTTTTTTGTCTGTGTCCTAGAGCTGGTGAAATCATTTGAGTTTGACAGTTATTCGAGGGGGAGTGTCAGACTCAAGAAGTCTAGACTAAGAACGACCCCGTTCTTTCTCTCTTTTTTTACGAGGAGAAATTCTTATGGTCTTCCTTCGCCTGGGGAAAGGTGGAGGGGGAAGGCCCGACTCTTACCGGCAACACCCCCGGTGTCTCCTCGCACTTGCGGGTTCACGGGATTCTAAATTCTTTCGCAACCCCACACTAGTGCTAGCCCGCTCAGTCCGGGCCTCATCTCCTACACGGAATATTGAGGTGCTTATCTACCCCGTGCATCCCATGGACCCATTCATGGGGGGGAAACGGCGTTATTAGCCAGTCTCCTGCACCCGGTGAGCCTCCTGCGGCCGGGAAGGGGAGTCGAGATCTCCCTCTTCCGCCCTGCAGCTTCCCTTCCCTGTCCTCACAGAAGGACACCACTGCGTCCCACGACTCTGCGCTGTCGACCATCTCCCGCACCACGGTCGACAGCGACAGATCGTCTCCTACTACATTTTTGAAGACACGGCGCTGCTCATCCCAAGCATCGCACTCGGCAAGCGTGTGTTGCGCCGTGTCCTCCCCGCAATGGACGCAGTGGTGGCACCGAGCATACACATACATAGTACATACATGTTCACCGCAGTGACTCCAATGCATTTTTATTTTATTATAATCCATTAGATAAATAATTTGTTAAACTGAACAACATAATAAGAGTCAACCTTTATCTTTTTTTAAGAAGGGAAAATCATCTAATGATATCGCCACGCCTCGGGTATGGCGAAAGGGAGTGTCAGACATTTAGGTACTGTCTAAGGCCCCAGGTCGCGGCACATTTCATTGTTTCATTGTTTCAATGAATCTAAGTTGAACCAACTCGCTCGCTTGTAACTTTGTGCTTTTGGGGTGCCGTGACCTTGTACTATAAAGGAGTCGTGACCTTGGGCTTTTAAAGATGTAGGTACCTAAACTTTAACTACAGTCTTGGGAAATTAAAGTTTTGAATTATCAAAGTACCTACCGTATGTAATTATTAATTATTTATTTGTATACTTTTCCCTCTCAACGCTTGTGTGCTTATTTATAAAGTTTTGTAAAACCATAGAATCCTATAAACGATACCTATTTGAGCATTTACTATGCTCATTTAACCGTTGTTTTTACACATAATTGTGATTCATCATCACCAGCCTATAAGTGCCCACTGCTGAGCAAAGGCCTCTTCTCATACGGAGAAGGTTAGAGCATTAATCACCACGCTTGCTCAATGCGGGTTGGCGATTTCAAACTTATAATTAGAAATTATAAGTCCAGGTTTCCTCACGATGTTTACCTTCACCGTATGTCAGTGGTGTCTAAATAATCATAGAAAGTACATATAACTCTCAAAAAGTCACATTGGTACTTGCCAGGTTTCGAACCCACACCCTCATGCATGAGAAGCGGGCTCCTTAACCTCCGGGCCACCACGACTCTAAAAATTGTGATTAGTTGCAAAATAATAGCAATTTACAGTAAATATTCTATAAAGATGGAAAACTCAAACTGTAAAGCCACTTACCTGTTGGCGGTTTCAATATTTCGAACCTTTTATTTTGGCTTGCCGTCTATAAATAGACAATGACTTGTAGTATAACTAGATCTACCTAGGTACTTACATGGATTCGTGCACCACTGTGCACAAAATTTAGAAAAATAATAGTTGTAAAGTCTTCGTAAAACTTGTTAAAACTTGTTTAGTTGTTTTAATTATGAGTCACCGGGTCACCGGCAAAGCCCGCGACGTGACTGGTTGACGGTAGATAAGACTTTATGTAATCTGTGGCACAGTGTGGCCATAGCGGGAGCTTTATTCCCAATAAGTATTATTTGTATAGGCTAACAATAGAATTGATGTGCGTACATATAAAAAAAAAATAGTTCTTATAGTTTACAACTTCTCAAACTAAACACTTTTTTGAAACGCCAAAAACGACGACTAATTTCTTTTTTAATTTTGTATGAAATAGTATGTAATGACGTCATAACTGATTTGCGTACAACAGTATAATTACTTAAAAAAGAATAGTGATATTTTTTAGTACCTAGTTTGATATTTTTAAAAGTATTTCAAGTTGTGATTTAAAAATATTTTTAAAAATATTAATGGCTAAACTGAAAAGCTTATTCCCATTTACAAACTTTTAACTTTTTAGTAGAAATTTTACAAATAAAACGTTATCGAAAGTGGATGTTACCTACGTATTTTAATTAAATAAAATATTATGAAGAAAGATTTTCAGTTCCGGCAGGCAATTATAAAAGTGGTCACGCCACGACGTCATCACCTTTCGCCAGACACAGGTGCTTACCGGGCACCGCAACTTCGGTAAGTTCCTGTTTCGGATCTAGCAGAAGGACTACCTACCAAGACGATACGGTAGGGGTGTGCCCTGCCTGAGCTGAGCACCGCCGTGTCCTCAGGGAAGTGATCGATGGTGGCAACCTCTCGCGCCCGGCCTTAGTCGAGGCGAGGAGCGAGAGGAACTGGGACGCCGTCTCCTCCTTCTGTGAATCAGTTATGCTCGCAAAGAGGGTGGCGGACCGCGTGAGGGAGCAATCCTCCTCCTCACGCCCCAGCCACCGCAGCAGGCGACATTTCGGGCGTATGGGATCGAGAGACAATCTCCGGCCACCGTAAGCGCGGGTTTGCGGACGGCGAGTAAGTGTAGCCTGCCGCCCCACTAGAACCAGACCCGAGTGTACAGCGCGTAGCGTTACGCTCGCGCCTCAAAGGGCCAATAGACCACTACAGACGGGGCCCTATAGGGCTGATGTTCAGCTGGGGCTGCGGGCTCCGCGACCTCGGCCCAGAGCAGTAAAAGGAACGCGGGGTTTTTAGTCAAGCAAGCAAGCAAGAGTCTGACACTCTTCACTTCTCTTCATCCTGGGCGGGAGAAGTCATTTGATGATTTTCCACTTACCAAAAAAAGTAGGTACAGTTCAGCATGGGTTTCAGGCGGAGTGCTTGGGAACTCTTCTCCTCACGCCCCAGCCGCTGCAGTAGGAAACACACGGTCCACGGGCGGCGCTGATTGCTTTAAATCAAGAAATGAAAAAAACACCAGGCATCGGGGATCGATTGACGATCTTCAGCCCCCGTAAGCGCGAGTCTAGGCGCGAGCAAGGGTAGCTCGCTGCCCAATCAGAAACAGACAGTTACAGAACAGAGCGTTCCGCCCGCAAAAGGCCAATAAACAGCCACAGATGTCATCCAACAGGGGCGATATTCAGTCGCAATGCGCTATATGGTACCGCGGCTTCAGCCTGGAGCAAAAGAACGGGGGGCAAAGGAACGGTGGGATTTAATCAGTAAGAGTCTGACACTCCCTCTCACCTCATCCTGGACGAAAGAAGTTATTTACCTACCTATATTTAATAATTTTCCACTCACAAAAAAGGGTGCGAAATGAGGTTTGGCACACAACGGTTAAATACTAACTAACTGAAAAACTTTAAATATGTGGACACTCACAAGTGTGAACTAATTACAACAATATTTGAAATGACGTTTTGCTCCTACGTAATCGTCGAGTGGGAGTTGCTAGAAGAACGATGATGCCCAATTTTTGCCGCCTCCCCCATCCTCAATCCTGTTATCCAAATCAAAGACTATCCATAAATTTCGAATAACCCGCAGGAGAACAACGCATTTGTAGAGACTCCTTTGACTAGTGTCCAAGGGTGACGCTGATTGCTTACCATCAGGTAATCCGTATGCCCGTTTGCCGACCTATGACGTACAAAAAAACGTTGTGTTATAGATCTTTGGTAGCAGGGTCGTGAAAAGGGGTGTGGCATTGCCATATTACTTATCTATACTTAAGTATAATAAATCTGTACAGAGGTCAATTCTGTACATTAAATATAGATATTTTCAACATAACTACCAGGGGGTGGTAAGTGATCGATACTGATGCCAAAAATGCATTATTCTTTATACTCCTGGGCAGGTTATAGGATACTTTTCATCTCGCTACAAATAATAGGAGCAGATCAGTGAAGGAAAATTTTGGGAAAACGGGAGAAGTTACTCCCTTTTTTAAGTTTCCATCGCGTGTTTAGCCTTAATGGTTAAAGATACATAGAAATTATGTATCACAGAAATATTCTACATAAAATTATCGAAAAAAAAATATTTTATAGCATATTATGTCTATCTTTTATGATTAACTCACAATATAGCACGTGTAACTCCTGGTAGCTTAGCAGTCATCGCATGTGAACACTGAATTATGCTGTAAGGATTCATTGTGTAAATTATTTTTGTGTAACAGTTGAAGCGCTCGATGCGACGCGGTATAAAATATAATAGGTTTAGTGAAATATTTGCAATACTTACCTATTAGTTAGATCCGTATTATTCTATTTATGGGCGGACGGATAGCCGAGACTTAGTAAGTACCTAATAGGGTTTTTACCCATTGGAGATATTCCCATAAAATGAGACTGCAAACTTTATGTAGGTATAAGTACTTCGACTTTCTTCTATTGCTATAGGCTTTTATTGTTAGGAAAAAAGAACATTTTACTATTTCTCACTCCTCATATTATACACTAAAATTAACATATCAAAATCATACGTCTTTGGTACAATATTTTTTCATATTATAAGATACATACGTACATATCTCTATTTGTGTGCCAATGTGCTGTGACTTTAACCTTACTACTTTATGAGACGGCTCAGCTGGGGATGCACAGGTGTCTAATTAACAATAACAAAAATAGGAACCTTATATGAATGATGCGATGGAATATATTTATAATGCTAACGGCCTGTCAGTCGCTATGTGGACGTCGTATAAAACTTCAACTAAAGTTTCTTATATACAGAGCTCTGTTATTGAAATTTCAATAAAACTATAGAAGAAATAAAATTATATGTACAAAAAAAAAAAACAGAACAGTAATTAATAAAACAATACGGATAAAAATTTAACATTTTATTAAATAATATTCTCACATTATTTATCGCTCACGTTGTTAAAAAGCTTCCACACTTTGTTCCATAATTTATTCTCACATCACACTAAACTTAGCAACTACAAACCACACAGTCTGTATAAAAATCGACTAAAATAATAATAGGCCTGATCCTCTGACTTCCTTCCTTGTCTATGAAAAAGGATTTATATTGATGATATGATAGACTATGGTTATTAATGGCAGCTGTCAGAATCAGGACTATTGTTAGTTTAGTGCCGCGGTCTTTCACTCAGCACTGCTTGCGTGCTCAGGCTACTGGGTTCGATTACCACGACTTGCATTTAGTCGTCCCCAGCCGACCTCTTCGCCTTCCTCAAGCGAGGTGACTGTTTAGGACTCTTCGGTGATTTTTCTGTAATAAATTTTAAAAGTTTTAATATCAAATTTAGTTTTCTTTTTTAACTACCAATTTGGGCGATTTAATTACTATTTAACTAAATTATTTCGCCGTTTCAAAATTAAATAAAATACTTTGATTCCTCGATATTTTAATGCACTTAATATTGGGTGTTCATATAGAACACCCAATTTCAGAAATGAGTGTTCTATTTGACGCAAAAATATTATGATATCATATCTTGCGATTTCATATAAATACTTTAACCATCTCTATGAAAAAACAAGTATCATTTCGACATTTGGACAAAAGTATTGAATTTGAATAAGTAGTTGGAAAACTCTGTTCTGTCTGCGCGGAAACTGATGAATCGTTTTCGACACAAAAATCGCAAGTTTCTAAAAATAAATGACAAATGGCAGCAGAGTCGCTCCATGAGAGTAAGGCAAAAATAAAATTACCTACCTACCTACCATTAAACAAAACAAAAAGTATCTATTCGCGTCTGGGACGCATAAAAGACACAAAACTAACAACATAATAAAAATAAAAATACATAAAGCATGGTAAAACAATATAACAAAAGTAAAGGGTAGGAGAAAAATATGCATCCAAGCACGCGAAATGGCTCTCGCTCAGCATTATGCAGCGACCCCATACGAGACAGTGTCGCGGCGCTGATTTTCAGCGATGGGCAATACTGACCGAGAAGAGTAAGCGTAAACTTATATCACAATTACAATCTTTGCTACTTAGGTAAGTAGTCAAGGGCGAATGTCGAGCATGCTTTAGGGTTCAATTCTTTGATTGCCAAAAAGTCGAGATAGACAGGGAATAATGAAAAAAAAACCTAGAGACGCGATCCGGACGTATACCACAAAAATATGACTAAGACTGTTTGATTACTTAATAAGATATAAAAATGAATTTGTGAAGAACCCTAAGTAATTTCGTATAGGAGTAGAAATAAAAATCGTGTAATGTATAAAACGGTTGGCGAGGTGGCTGAGTAACTGGATGCCGCGCGGCGCGTCGCGCGTTTGATTCCCGCACGGAACAACTCTTTGTGTGATTCACAAATTGTTGTTTCGGGTCTAGATGTAGTGTGTATGTGAAATTGTATGTTTATTTGTTAGGGCAAAATTTTATACAACAAAAAAAAGTATACTTAATACATACTGAGTTGGTTGACGACTTCTTTGGGCAACCAATCGTAGTCAACATCATTGGCCGTGCCGACCTCGATGGGTCTGGAGGCGGGGCGGGGAGCGCGGCGCCGAGCCAGCGAGGACAGAGCTTGCTGGCCGAGGACCAGTGCCAACACGCAGCCAGCACCCAAGAACACGTAAAGGAAGAACGTCTCCCCGTCTAAACCTTCCGACACCTCCACGATGTTCAGGGTCTGGTTGTACACTGCTTCCTGTACAACAATACAAAATATTAACTCATTTATAATCTGCAGTTTTATGGCGAATTAAACCCGTAATCCATGCAACGAAATTAAAACGGAAATAAAATCGATATTCTCGAAAACTCAAAGATTTTAAATTTAAATCAGTTATAAGTGCAGCTGATACTCATTTCTTTAACTAAACCATATACCTACATGACGAATTTTCGAGAGGCGTAAGGTCCTTTATACTGCAGATTAACAGTGTAACTACCCAATGATCATAATAAATTATGGTTTTAAGGTAACCATTGCAGTGACTAGCCTACATAAAATATAGTGGAACACATAAATATATGTGTCCTCTTATACCTCAAGCTCAAGCTTATGGTCCGACATTGCCCAGTGGCTCAACAATATTGGTCAGCCAGTAAATAATAATGACTTTATATTTTTTTTTACAACACAAGGGTATACAATGTGATTTGTATAAATTAAATGTGTTGACTAACAATTATTGGAATAGATTTCCTTACAGATATGACAAACAGAAAGCAGGATATGAGCAAAGCTAAGAAGGATATAAAATTATCATTATCAGCCTATAAGTGCCCACTGCTGAGCCCACCCTTTCATACACAGAGAAGGTTTGAACATTATTAGATGTACATTAAAAGGCAGATTGGCGATTTCGAACTTATAATTAGAAAGTCCAGGTTTCCTGATGATGGTTTTCTTCACCGTATTATGTCATCTTGTCATCATTTGTCATATGTTTCGAAACGGCACAGTCAAGCAATAATAAAGATTTATTTTGAATATAACATACCTGGTAGAAGTTCCCACTAGCATCCCTGTAGTTAAGCTGGATGTTCAAGCCAAATGGTCGGCCAGCAAAAGCTTCATTAGGAATGAAGGAGTATGCAAAAGTGGCTTCCTGCTTTGGCTTCACCTCCTTGTTGTAAGGCAGAGCCGTGAAGTTCTGGATGTAGTATGTGTAGTCCATGGGATATCTGAATGAGGCTTCCATTGACTCTACCAAGTAATCTTCAGCACCCTTGTTGATGAAGCCAACCAAGAATTCCACGGGATAACCAGCTTGAAGGTCTGAAATAAGGTATAATAAAATTGTTTACATTTTTTATATATTCCTGACATAATACCTCTACTTGGTTATTATCTGTTTACATTTGGTTAGACATATTTACTTTTTTTTGATTTAGAGTTGACACTCCAAAAGATGCAGTTTGTGCTCCATAATATCATGGTGATATATTAATAAGGAGCTTTTTGATTGCAGATTTTTTGACACATTACTTTACACCCTAATATGATTAACACTGTGCCAATTTGAAAATGTTAGGAGGAAAAAAGAAAGATCAGAGTTAAGTTATTACCACAAAAACAAATAAAATCCTAATAATGATCTTAATTAGGTACTAGTGGTATGTGGATCGTAGGTGATTAGAAATATTTATTATAGTGTGTAGAGTATATATTGCTAGCCTTAAGGTGTTTATTTTAAAGGTGATGTAGGCATACAATTATTAATAGATAACAAGTTTAAATAAAATAATCTTACCAAACACGGCATCTCCTAAGCTTGTAACAGGTTTAGTGAAGAGAATGGTAGTATCTACATCTTGTGAAGACTTCACAACGGAGTCATCGTCATCACCTAGGGCATCGTCACCAACCACCTGGTTGTCTTCTCCTTCAATATCCACTACATCATCCAGCTCATCTTCTTCAGCTCTCGCCAGAATTGTGTTGGCTGTAATATGTAATTAATATTCAACATAGTACATATCTTGAAACATAGAATACTAGATATGAACATATGGGTGCAGATAAACATATGGAAAGTCATTAGTATCTAATTATCACCAACTTAGGTGCGTAGCAGTGGGAAAGATTATGATTTTCATTAATTAAATCCAGGCTTGAAGACACAGTGCTGACCTAGTTGCTACTAACTACTATCTCCCTGACTATCTTAAAATCATGACACAACCTTAAGGTAATTTTTTGCTAAATAACTTCATGTTATAAGGGCCTCATAACTATGTTAACTATAACAAAATATTTGAAAGTTATAAGAACCTTTCATTCAATGAAGTGTAGCCTCGTATACGTAGTCAGGTTACATACAAATTATTAGGTATGTGAATTTAACAGTTACAATTGCACATAAATAATACGAACTTTTTAACAGGTTTCCTACTCTTAAAAAGTTATATATACTTTTTGAAAGAAAACTTTCTCTTTAAATGTATAACACAAATGCTGCCACGTACTTATATCAGAGACAGAATAAACGAATTTTAGATAACATACCACTCTGGAAACACAGGAGAGCCGCCGGGAGGACCAGGAGCGTTAAATATAATAACTTCATATTGGTTGAATAAGTAATATATTTACTAGACTGTAACAAACTGCGGCTACTATCCGACTAGATTGTAGGCCATTCACTTTTGTAACAAACAGTCCAACGGAGCAAGAAACTTGGGGCAAAATGCCAATTTTCTCTCCAACTCGATTGACGTGGAATCTTATGTCAGTAGTGATGTGCCATTTGTAAATTCGACCTCCGGGCTTTTAGTATTTATTTTATATCAACTAAAAACTGAACATTATATTTCTATTTCGTATGAGAATATTTAATCTATTACGATCCATCTTCCCATTTAAGAAAATCAGTCTCTCGGAATTAAACGATTTTTGTCTAAGCTTGAGTGATTTCATAATAAAATTGTTAGTTACTTGTACTTATATTTATGATCTATTTTAATTTTACTAAATTGATTTGTTGTCCTGCAAATTTTGTAACAGTATGCGTAGGTGAATAATTACATCATGATATTTGGCAAGAACTATTTTAGAATTCTTAATATCGATCAACTTACTAAGACTATTTTTAAATCGACTAACTTCATTATATAAACATTATTCCTATGCCTACCTCTCTAGAACTTCAGCTGTCAATTTCTTTTCCACACACGCCATTCTTGGTGCACGTGTATTATTCACGAAACTGCTCGATATTTAATATAAAATGGATAAACCAAACGTTCTTGCTCGTGTCGTCAAGGTTTTGGGACGTACCGGCTCCCAGGGACAATGTACCCAGGTCAAGGTGGAGTTCATTGGAGAAACCAGCCGTCAAATCATCAGGAACGTGAAAGGACCAGTGCGTGATGGAGACATCCTGACTCTTCTCGAGTCTGAGCGTGAAGCCAGAAGACTACGATAAACGGTAACTCCATATTTTTTACACTAAACTCTAAACTAATAGAAGCACGATTTTTCCATGACTTAGTGGAATTGTTTTAAGGTTATGATGCCAGTATTAGGCGGTGGCATTCTTAGCTGTAATAACTAGTAATAAGGTTTTTATCTCTGAATAAATTCGCTATTTGATTAAAACTATGTCATAGTGATCTTTTTCAACTCAACATTATTTTCATACAGTACAATCTTGTGCCATTTAACTATTTATGTATCGTGTTTTGTTGTGGTACATGATAACATGACTGTAGTTAATAAATCAGCCAGTATATGTCCAATTCTGATCAATCGCCACCATTATTATAGAGGATTTGTTGTACCATTCCCATTCTGGGTATAGAACTTGTAGGCTTGCTATCTCTCAATGGCCAGTGTCAGGTTTTTAGCTAACTGAACTGAATTCATGCTTTTTCTTAGCACCAAGCATTCTATCTGTTTGCTTGTCACCCTATCTTACAAAAATAATGACAAATAAATAGGGATATTGACTTGCATGTTGATATTGTAAAATTTTCAATATGTTATAAACTGTATCTTTTGTTTCAGGTCATGGCTAGCTGTTTATTAGGTTAAGGCTCTTACCATCTATCCAACTATTGTGTTAACTTAAAGAAACCGTCAAAGATGACCATCTCATTGTACCGACACATAATAAATTACTTACCGATGTAAATCTTGTTTTTTTTTTACTTTTTAAGATTTTCTCCTGTTGTGGGCCCTTTACAAACATAAAATTTCACATATACATCACACCCAGACCTAAAACAATTATGGATTGATGCAGGAATCCCACCTATCGTTGTGTCAGCCGGGGTTGCAGGGTAGGCGCAATGAGGCACCGTGACCTCGGCCCAGAGCAGGAGAAGGAACAGGGGGTTTTTAGTCAGTAAGAGTCTGACACTCCCTCCCGGCCGACCCTGGGCGGGAGAAGACATTTGATGATTTTCCCCTCACAAAAAAAACCTGTTGTAGCCTGCTATAGGCAGAATACAACAATTGGTTATCAGCCAAGGTGCAACCATGCAATAAGTCTTCAGTTCTTTACTGTGAAGACTTCTGAGAAAGGATTACCATTTGTGCTGCTCTGGATAAATACACAGCTTGCCCCGTCCCCAGAGATGTGGCCTTTCCGAGCTAAACTCAATGTCTATATACAAGAACAAAATGAAATCTAGTTAGATACCTACTTTTTATTTGAGCCCTTTTCGAGATCTTCTAAGTATATATATTAATTAGATCATATTTAAGCACCTCATCTATTTACCAACTTAGAGAAGTGGAGAGTTAGCTAAAATCAAATACGGACAAATTGAGATTTTACGTATATACTATTACTGTATACATAAGTAGAACTAGAAAAATGTGTTCAAGTTTTTATTTGTTTATATTTTGTATACCTTTATCGTATGACAAATTACCTATTTATTAATTATGTCTAACTAATGATAGTGTTGTGTAAACTACCTACTTTTATTTAGGTAAATGCTTGATAATTTGATTTATCATTAAATGTAAATATAGTAATGCCATAATTATTATGTAAAAATTAGCAATTAATGTTATTCCAACTATATTATGTAGTTCAATAATATTTGTGATTGTGTGATGTTCTGCGTTTTCGCTTTTTCGTAACCACCTAAATTTGGTCGGTTTACCACGGTCATTCACTTCCTAATGACTTTAATAGTATTATCTCATTAGTTATCCAATGTATTGAGCTGAAATTTTACTGATATATAGGTAACTGATCTAAACAACTAATCATTGACATAACATTCAGTTCATATATCCAATCCAGTGGCCAAATTACACCGCGTGCATTAGGACTGTGCTCGTGAAGAACTGAATATCATCATAACTTGTTAAATACTTACGGGATACTAATGAAACTTCACATACATTTGAAGGCAGTTACAAGCTTTAAAATAACGTTTAAAGTAAGTCTTTAGACTTCTTATCGAGAGTGCTGGGGCCAATTGAAGTGTTTTTCTATTTAATGAAAAAGCCTTTAAAATATGCTTTATTTTGGTTTTGTTATTGCACAACAAATTTAAACTAAGTCCTCGGAAGTCGTGTACAAAATATGATAAGAATCCGCTTAACCATTTCAAAGATCTAGCAAAACCAAAAACGTTACCGCAGCAAAATCTCGAATAGCTTCGCAACCGAAGAAAGAACAAATACAAAATAAGGCACAACATTTACTTTATCTACACAACTAATTTTATAGCTAATATTTATTTAAATATTCCCATTAGAAAGAAAAAGGTCTGGCTGTGGTAACGTTACGCCAGCAGGAAATGTTTTTGTGAAATAATTAAAAAACTATAAGCGCAACAAATTTAAAAATGTGCGCAACAATTACAGAAGCCACACAACTAATTATCTATAAGATTCAAATGACCATTGTCGACAACATCTGGCCTGGGTAACGGACACACTAATTTCAATGACGAATCCGACACGCATGCTACTGTATTCTACGTCTCTTACTCGTGCGTACCTTTGTAAACTTTGCTCACACATTTGATTAGGCGTTTTACTTATGCAAAAATTATAATACTTAAATATGTTTAAGTATTAACCACGGACAGAATGTTATTTTTAAAATGGTTATGGTAAAAAAGGGTAGTAGGTATGTATATGGTCAATTATTATCAATACTCAATAGTGTAATTGATAAATTATCTAATATAAGGGCTATTATATCTGCGCTTGTCATTAGAAACGATATTAATACTTACCTACTGTGTTTGTTGTTGTGTTAACCGTTTTTAGAAGTGCCAATAAAAATTAACGGGCCTCAATGAATTGGCCTCGGCACCTCGTAGGTAAGTCTTCCAAAAGTCCTAGTTCTTATGTTCCCGAAGAAGGAAACTGATATCTAGTACTTATCAAAAATGCTACTAAACATTGCTTACCATCAGGTGGGACTGCAACCAAGCACTAGTTATATGATTTAAAAAAAGATATTATTATATCAATTATAACTACTAATCAGTCAACTTGTTATAGTATTCGGCCAGTTGATAACACAAACATTTTATAGGAGTGATTAGGTATTGGTATGAATTTATTTCATAATACAGAGCAGGCAATATTTACTTATTGTATGTTAAAATAATAATGAATCTAGTCGTCTTTAATTTATTGGATATTTCTAAGAACCAAATTGGTTTGTAGCAAAAAATACTACAAACAAGAAGTGAACATTTGAAAAGTACATACCATTTGGCGGGAAAATGCTGGTAAATATGGGGTTTTAGTGAAAGAGAGAGAGAGAGAGAGAAAAAAAGACCAGTAGACATAGTGATTATGTTTACTACTTCTCTATTTAATAATACTTTACAAAAATATCACAAAGTAAAGGGAAGTATGTTTTTTTTATTCTAGACAAATGACTAATGTGATGTTCAACAAGGTGTACCAACAATTTAAATGGGTTTTTGTAAGCAGAATGTAGTCATTATGCTTCCAACATCTTTACTTAGGCCAAGATTATTGTGAAATGTTTGAAAACAAACCACCAAGGTATGGCTAGATCTGGCTACAGAGAAAAACTCTTTAGTGTTTCTATTGATTCTTTATTTGAATACTCAGAACTGTCTCCAAATAGAATGAGAAAGAAGAGGGAGCCAATCAAATGGGCAAATAGAAATGGGCCACTCACCACAGATTCATTGAAATACAATTCTACCTGTGTGGTTTGTTAACATTTTACACCAATGGCTTAAGTGGATGTCATGTAATTTCATTCATTTCACTGATTTTCAAGCAACAAAATTGTCTTAATGTTGCACTTACATTCTGTCCATTCAATAAAAGTATTCCTGCATTATTGATATACATTTCCTATAAGTATAGATCATCTAAAAAGCTAAGTACTTGCAAACATTCAAAACTGACTGATAATTATGCATAATGAAGATTACATTTTTATTCTAAGTATCTTATTTGAATGGATGTTATGGATCTAAGATATGATTTTGATACAGTTTTGTTCATGTCAACAGTTAAGTTATATGGCAACTCACAATGTACCTAGTTATATTAGCATTTCCTTAATAGTCAGAGTTACATTACTTTTAAATAAATATCAAGAGTGAACAGCAGTGAGCTGCCATTACTTAAGTTATCACAAAAAGATATTGATAAGTACTTAATCCAAACAATCAGGTGCACATAATGCAATAAAACAATGGCATATTGTCCCCAAATTGTTATTACATTAACATTTATGATAACAGCTGTATGTACACATCACTTTTTTATTTGTTAACATAATATTGATACTAAGTACAGATCGGCACAGTACTTCCATGATGGAAATATTAATAATCAATACAATACAACAATATTACAGTCAGAGATGTAAATAAATAAAAAAAAACATTATTTACAAAAATATACAAAGAAAATAGTATAATATATTTTCAATGCAAAAGGCAATGGTGTCGGTGTTCAGCCTCACATTGTGTCAACATATCTGGCCCCCATGTTGCGCAGGGCCGCTTGCACTTTGAGCACTTAGGTAGGTAACGTGAAGAATCGCTGACCCGTCTAGGTATCGTACTTCTCAGCATCACATTGACTAGCCCAGAATAAACAGTTACCGATTCCGCTATAACAAATTAATATCACGGCTGCTAGGAAGACTACACTGCACACGGTACACGGCTTCCTTTCTAGGAAGAATCCTATTAGATATAAGACCATGAACATAACGTGTGTGTTCACTAAAGCCGGGTTCACGGGCTTCGGTATTAGCAGCACGGGAATAAGCCATTGCAAACAATACATGTCGCCGAATACACGTGCAGGTCTCGATCACAATCGCCGAACACTAACGTGGGTATGAATTAGCGTTTGTGTTGCAATCGACATGATTTGATTGATAACTTCATTATTTTTACAGAGTAGAAACAAAATGTTGTAGTTCTAATTTGCGTTTAATTTTTGACAGCT